GGGGGGGGGGGGGGGTCAGGGGGAGTGAGGAGATGACGAAAAGGGCGACGCTTGCACATACAGAACCCAACCCGCCACACGATCACCCCAATCTTATCGTTCAACGCCTTCAATTACGCCGCGATACGAGAGGAGCGTGCGAATGTTTACAACTCGTGTCTGTAAACGTCGCACGTCCGGTTTATAAATTTTTATATCCGCTTGTGTACAAATAATATCAATGGAGGTGAAATAAAAAAAAATGAGTCGGGTATCCGTCCCATGAATGACGCATTGAATGAGAGCTTGGGGTAATGATAAGGTTTGTTTACGTGGGGCAGAACCGATGTATGTATTTTGCCACGCGATATGAGAAAAAAAAATATTTACAAAATGACTTTTGTTTTTTGCTCGAAAACCGGAAAAATTGAAACTTTTCATATTTTTTTTTATTCAAAAGATGGGATTTTTCACGCATCGTGAAGCTTTGAGTTAATATTAATACTAATTGCAGTATTTATTAACAATATTTCGACATGCATTATAAACGGAAAATGAAAAATTCAGAATAAATAAAGAATTTTGTTTTTCAAATTAAAAAATGGGGGTTTTTCGCGCAGTACGACATTTTAAGTTGATGTTAATACCAATTGCAGTGTTAATTAACAATATTTTGACACGCATTATAACCAGAAAAACAAGAATTCTGAATAAATTGAAAAACGAAATTTTTTGAAATAAAAAAAATTGATTTTTCACGCATTGTGGAATTTTAACCTAACATTAATTAACAATATGTTGACACGTATTAAAAAAACACAATTCCAGAACGACTTTATAGTTTTCATTCAAAAACTGGAAAAGCAATAGTTCATAATCAATTTTTTTCTCTCTTTTAAAATTCAAGACAGAATTTTTCAATTTTTTATTTAAATAAAAAAAATGAATTTTTTTTGTTATAAATAGTAGTGACTCCTTGGACGTGTGCTTGTCGCGTGTGAGGCTCGCGCCTGCGCCCCTCTACTCACTGACACGCTCGACTCACGTGGTAAACACACACCACGACAATTGTATTATCCCGTGTATATGTGTTACAGTGGGCCCTATTGGGCCCCGTGCCGGCTGAAGGGCCCCGCGTGTGGGACGCGATGCCTCAGCTCGTTCTCACGGTAGCCTCGGAGGCCATTCGGAGGTAGCAAAAGGGGCACTCTCTCCCCTCTCCACCATTGGCTTCCTCCATTTGTGCGTTTCAACGCACAAACATGTATATAACCTTCTGTATTCACTCGCGCATGCAATGAGGAGGTGGAGAGGAGTGGGGGAGGGCATCAGGCCCTTTGGGAGCACGCGTGTGGCGATGTTGTTACAAATCTGTTGTTTAAAAAAATTTTTTTCCCGAGATTTGAGGACTTGGAGAAGTTTTTACATTTGTTTAACACAAAAAACTTACTTTTTTTATTAGTTGCAGACGTGCGTGCATTTTAATAATCAAGATATAAAGTTAATCAAAATTTCATACGAGGCAAACAATTTTTATGTAAATAATGATTTTTTAAAATAAAAATCTTGTCGAACAGAAAAGTAAGATCAGTCTCGCAATTAAATTGAACTGAATTCTTGATGGGATCAGAAAAAAATATGAAAGTTTTGATATCAAAAGATTTTCATTTCCAGAATTTTTTTCAATACCGGAGGCAGCTGATGAATAAAAAAAGGTTTATAACCAGATTTTTTAATGAAAAATATTTCCCGCCATGCAGTTGAATTTTTTTAGTTTCATCAAACATTTTGAAATTAGCTCCTGCGGTAATGACTCAATTTCAACATTTTTCAATGTTCCAAGAACTCGACGAGTGGAGAGAAAAAAAAATTGGCCACTCATCTTGTTATTCCACGTCATTACAGAAAATTCATGTAAAATGTTCAGTGCACGTGATAGAATCCCATTCACGCCGGATATGCGTCTCCATTCATGAATATTAAATTATAGGAAATCGACGATTGAATGGGACGCGAAAGCACCACATGAACTGTTATGTAATTATTTGGATTTTGTGAATGGCGAGTTGTGTACGGGAGGCTTTTCTCCTGGCGTTTATTTATGAGGCGGATAAATTATCTTGAGATCATTATTTATGGGTGACTTGATACTTTCGGAGTGACTCAATCGTTTGAATTAATTGCGAAATCAGTGACATTAACATTCGAAACTTCCTATTTCCCTTTTTTAATAATAGAAATTTTAATGAAGAAAATTCTGTCTGTGGAAAAAAATACATTATGAATGAATGAACGGTGAAAATCAATTTTCCATTCACCACAAAAAAAAATCCACTAAATCTGAATAATTACGAGCCGACTGGCGCCAAAAATCACAGCACCATAACAACGATAAGGGATTTAAACAAAAAAATAGTGGGAGTGAGGGTTTCCTGCAACGCTTGGCGGATCGTTCGCGCTAGCGGGCGTTCTGTTCCCACGGGGCATTCATCCGGCACCCGTGTACACCTTCCGTCTGGGGTTTATCGGGGAGGGGAATTGAATGAACGTCAGTGGGCCCGGACCATCATCGTTACGGACACTGACGCCCAACGAGCGCGCCGGGTGTCTCCGCTGACCCCTAAGTAGACTCTAATAGGCAACAACCTGATTTTTGGGATGATATAGGAGGGTCCAGGAGTCGTGATTTTTTAGCCGGGATAATCACGCGCATTTCACCCCCTTCCCCTCGTCGTCATCCCCCAATCTTTCGAAATTAATATTTTTTGCTTGAATAAATGGATGAAATTGAATTTTAATGCAATTAAATTTTAGAGGTTTTGATTGATCATTAACTTGCATTTTATTGGAATTGAATCTTGTTTTTTACAGAATTCGGGTTTTTGGGGAAATAGATTGTGTTGGGCTCAAAGATGGAGGACAATATTTTTTGTTCAATTTCATGGATGAAATAGAATAACAAAAGAAATAGACCTGTTTTCATAGAATGAGAATCATAGTTTGAAAATAAATAATTCTATCTTGCTGAACAGCTGAATAAAATTCAATTTTAATGCAACGAAATTAGAAAATGTTTCAATTAAACATAAAATTGCATTTTATTAAAATTGAACTCTCCATTTATTGTTAAAAAATGTGTTTTTCGAGAAAATGAATTAACTCTGTTCCTAAAATCGAGAACAATATTTTCCATTATCTACAATTTTTTTCAATTCTCTGGATTACATAAAACGGCCAAAAATCTGGATTAAAAAAAATCCAAACAATATTAATGAACAGAAAATCATAGTTTGGAAATAATTGAGACAACACAGAGCGACAGTGATGCCATCAGCGAGAGTCAC